CCACAAGCCACTGGCTGGGTCCAGCTCCCTCGCACCACCACCACCGCAGAGACCGGAGCCGAGCTCAACTCTGCACTTGACAAAGGGGCACATTTCCCCCCGCTCCAGTCTGCCTGCCAGGACTGACCCAGTCTGCCGGGATTAAGGAGGAGCCCAGCCTGTTGCGCGGCCACCCGGGTTGCCCCCTGGCGGTTGCCCTGGGCCTGCTCCCCGCCTCGTCGAGGCCGCCATGGACGATCCTCAGCACGGCAGGGGGAGCCCAGAGGGCAAAAGCGACGCCCCCGCGGCTTTCCTGCCGCCCCGCAGCCGGTCCCGCGCCTGCCCTTACCATGGCCAGGGCTGTCCGTCGGCGCCGAGGCGGCGAAGTCGCTCCAGCTCAGCGAAGGTAGGACCGGTTGGAGCCGGCGTGTGGCTCTTCTGGGAACGGATCCCAGCAACGTCTTCCTGCTTTCCTCCCCGGGACCACCCCAGCCCGGCGAGAGGGAGGCGCCTGGCTGTCCAAGAAAGGCAGCGGACGGGCTGGGGGTCTGCGCTTCAGCCACCGGCGTCTTCCGTCGAGGCGAGCGCCGCGGGGCGAACTTTCGCTTTCCTCGCGCCGCCTCTTTACTCCGGGAAAGGCTTCGGCGGAGCTCAGCGGCGCTGGTCCCAGGAGCGTTGGGAACGGGTCGCGGCCCTAAGGGGTGTCCCTCCCAAGCCCCTGTGCGAGGCTGGGAGAGGGGGGGGGACCCAAGCTGTGGGGAGTGTTGGACATGGGAGCCCTCGGTTCAAATTCCAGCTCGAAGGTCACCGGTAGTGCAATGCAGAGTTATTCCAAACGAGGCCCACTGATTTGAATTGGCTTAGACTAGGTAACTCTCCTCCTGACCTGGATAGCCCAGGCTAGCCTGATCCCGTCAGCCCTGGGAAGCTAAACAGTGCCGACCCTGGCTACTAGTATTTGGATGGGAGACCACCAAGAAAGTCCAGCGACGCTACAGCAGTCAGTGGCAGGCAATGGCAAACCCCATGGGGTCGGCAGCATAAGTCAGCTGTGGCTTGAGGGCACTTTCCCCCACCAGGTAACTCTCCCTAGGAGAGGGCTGGCAGTGGCCATGGACCAGTCATGCTCTGCCTGCCTCACAGGATTGTGGGGAGGATACCCATCCACTCTCCATGGCTGCCCTTTCCCCATACTTAGGCCCCGGTCACACCAGCTGGATATCGTGGGGGGGGGGAGGCGTGGCTGTTTGCCCCGGAGCGAACTACTGCGTGGCCGCCGGATCAAACATCCCACCGACGTCCTGTGGTTCGGGGGAGGTGCCAATCATACGTCAATCCTGCGGTGCGGCAAAGAAGCGGTGTGGCAGGGGTTGTGGGTTTTTTAAACGAAGTGTGCGCATGCGCCGTTGGGTGCTTGTGCGCATCCCGTGGAGACTTGGGAAAAAACCACCTTTTCGCAACGGGACATGGGCGGGTGCTGGATGCCACAAGCTACCACCCACGCCCGCCCTTGCCCCACAGTTTCTGGAAACTAGTACCTCGGAGGTACTAGTTTTTTACGGCGCATCTTCGGCAGGAAGCCTCGGGTTAGCCACAGGAGCTCTACGCTTCCCAGATGTTGCGGTTTGCTCGCACCAGGAAAATCCGACTATCTTCCGTCTCTGTAGCGTGGCTAATGCTCCGTGTGACCGCAGCCTATGAATAACATTCCAGACCATTTGTCTGGCTCCATCGCTGCTCTTCTCTCCCTTCTGATCCCTCCTTAAACCCCACCTCTCTTATTATGAAAAGTGATTCGTTACATCAACAGCGTACATCAGCTGCAAAAAAGGAAAAGGTCTTACAACCATCTTAAGAAGGAATGAATGAACAAACAGGCACATTCTGGTCCTGGCTTGGACAAGGGGCTAATCCCCTGACTTCATGTACTCACATTAGAGAGAGCAAAGTGGGGCCAGGAGGGAGGGAGGGAGGGAAGCAGGATGGGGAGTCAACTGAAAGACCTGGGAAACTTGGGGTTGCCTCCAAGTCAGCTGGTGCCTCCCTTTCTTCTCTCAGGCACCAAGAGACCAGCCCTGGACGGGTCTAAAGCTCAGGAGAGAAATCTCCAGATGAAAGGACATCCATGGGTGTAAACTTGGGGGGGGGGGGGTTCAGACTCCACCAGGGCTTTCTGGGGCAGCACCCCCACCCGCCTTCTAATCCAATCCCCTGCTCTCTCCTGGTTTGGGCTTCCCAAGAGCACCCCAAACGTGATCAGAACAGAGATACAAACATCATTTTCCAGTTTGGTGTAGTGGTTAAGTGTGCGGACTCTAATCTGGGAGAACCGGGTTTGATTCCCCACTCCTCCACTTGCACCTGCTGATGTGACCTTGGGTCAGTCACAAGCTCTGGCACAGCTGGTTCCTGAAAGAGCAGTTTCTGTCAGAGCTCTCTCAGCCCCACCTACCTCACAGGGTGTCTGTTGTGGGGAGTGGAAGGGAAAGGAGATTGTAACCTGCTCTGAGACTCCAAGTGAAGGGCGGGGTATAAATCCTATCTCCTCCTCCTCTTCCTCCTCCTCCTTCTCTCTGTGTAGCCATGATAGACCAATGTGATAATGGTATTTATTTTTTTTATTGATACATTTATTATTTATTAATATATCTAATTCTCAACATAGCCAAATCTTTGGATACTTAAATCTGGAGACTGAAGCCATGAATAGACAAGGCAGATATTTCTAGAAACCACAGGTCTGCAGAAAAACCTGGAAAAGCCTGTAGCTTTAAAAAACAAATGCCCTCTGTGACCTTTAACAGGCAACCAGAACGGTACTGCGAGTTAAAGCCTTGGCTTCTGTCAGGGGCAGGGCCATCTTCAGGGCTCTTTTGTCCTCGGGTGGGGGGGTCTCATTGGGGCCAGGTCTGCCCCAAGACTCCTTGCTACTATGCAACTTGCATGGCAATGCAGTAAGAACAGGTTGATGCACAAACAGATAATACATACTATCCACAGTGGTGCTACAGTCCTGTTCCCTTTTTAAAAGCGCCTTCCTGAACAATTCTGTTATTCTATAGCCCTGTTACCTTTATAAAAATGCCCTCTGGCATTTTACATGATTTGCTTAGGAATGTTACTTGTAAATGATTTCTTATCCTTCCTTCCATCTCCCACCTGAACTGTCATTCAAGTACAGAAGTAGTTCCTTACTTCTATTACCAGAAGCTTCCCTTTTATTTTCTGTGCTTCTTTCTTTCTCTTACTTGCTCAAAGGTGAGGAACCATTTCCTTAACAATGTACCAAACAACTTCCTGTGCATTGGCTCTCCTAAATGTTTTATACAACACAGGGCTGTGAATGGTGAAACTACTTCTTCATTGTGAACCTCCACAACTGATTGCCCCTTTTGTCTGGCTATATCTTGTGGAGGTGAGATTTTTTAGCCCTGATTAGCCTTTGTCTTATGTTGCTCTATGTAATATCTCCCCTACCTTTCTTGTGAATATTTATCCCAGCCAGATGGATGTATATGTCTATGCATCTGAAGAAGGAAGCTCTGTTAGGCTGCGGTCACACTGGCAGCTTGGCACAATATGGCGGCGCCTCTAATTGTGTTGGCTTAAAAGTGTTGTAGAGCATACCAGCTAGACAGCACACCCTGCTGGAGGTTACCTGTATGGCTGTCCCATGGTCAAGCATTCACAGTAGTGTTGCGCATCAGCCACAGGATGTGGTGTGCCAGTGGGAGGTTTTTTTTAAAAAAAAATCACCATTGTGCATGCACATAAGCACATAACCAAACAACTACTTCCATTAGCTAGCTCCGCAACCCATGAATGAGGTGGAAGTGCCTGTTCCCTTCCGGGTTCTTTTTGTGCCAGGAGAGTTCAGACATTGGACAAAACGGAGTGGAAGCGCTACCATCCCTTACTGCTGGACTTTCCCCAGTGCCTGCTTACTCTGGTTCTAATGTGGAGTGGGACAGGCTGCCGATGACTGGGCCATGGAAGGCAGATGTTGTCATCTGATCAAGCCCTTTAACTCCGCACAGGTAATGCTAATATGTCATGACAAACTGCAGCCTTAGTCTTTTACAATCTTTTGTTATTCCTGAGAAGTTAGATCAGAATTATTTAACAATGGGAGCTGGCAATATGATTTCAGTCATCTAGTTGATATCAGAGAAAGTAACCGGTAAAAAAAAGAGTGAAGTTGCAGCTACCAGCCCTGCAACAGATTCCCAGTTATTTTTCCCAGAGTCACAAGAACAGGAAGGTAAGCTTCTTTTTTAAAATACTAAGTTTTAGTTGTGCCTTTGTAAGTCTTACTGCCTTGATAACAACTACATGATTCATTAAACTGCCCCTTTAGTTCAAAAAACTGGCAAAATGGTGAATGAATTGTAAGTAATTGCTTGCAGTAATCTGCTTGCTGAAGCCTTTAGGGAAGGTGCAGTTCAGGGCAGGGGTAATTTCATAGAAAAAGAGCTAGAGGAACTCATTAGCATAACTCATTAGCATATGCCACACGCCCTGGCTTCACTGGAAGTGTGTCATAAGGCCACACACCCCGCCCCCAACGGTCCCGGCCGCCGCCGCCGGCCTTGCAGCTCCACTGCCGAGCCCCATGAGGGGCCCAGTGGTGGACCTGCAAGGCCGGCAGGAGTGCAAGGAAGCCCCGCGAAGGCCCTCCCTGGCCCCAGGCAGGCAGGGGTGGGAAGAGGCAGGGAGGAAGCAACTTACCCCCCCTCTTCTCCTGCCTCCTCCTGGCTGAATGAGGGCCAGAAGCGGGGCGGCCGGAAGCAGGGGGCGGGGCTTCGTCATGTGCCCCGCCACCCGTACCTCACCCGGGGGAACTGCGATCCCCCCCGAAATGACCTCTGGTTCAGGGGTGTAAGACATGTGGCCTGGGGGGCCAGATGAGGCCCCCGGAAGGCTTCTATCAGGCCCGCAGTGGAATTGGCTATCTTCTGCTCCTTTTTCCAGTTCTGCTGCTGTTGCATCATTGTAGGTTTGCAGCTTACAGATACACACCTGAACAGCATACTCAGGATTGCAACAGTACAGACATTTTGATGTAATAATTCAGAGCAAGAGGTGTCAGTTATCAGACACTGTTAAATAAACAAAATATTGCAAGAATGCTAACGTTTTAAGCGTGTTTTTATTTTAAGTAAAAAAAACCCTTTGTGTTTGTGTCTCTGCTAACTGACATTACATTTTATGACAACATTTTATGACATACATGGCCCGGCCCAACAAGGACTCATTTATGTCAGATCCAGCCCTCATAACAAATGAGTTCGACACCCCTGGTGCAGTTGACCAAGGAAGGCCTGGCTGATCATTAGGCTACACCATTCAGCCCCCTAATATCTCAGCTTATCCATGAAGATCACTGGGTGACCCTGGAACAGTCCCTTTCAGCCAGTCCTAATCTACCTCACTATAATAATATAAAGTTATATATAAATTATATAAAAATATAATAATTTGAGTTGCTTTTCCTCAAATGTATGCTAACTGCATTTTCCAGCCCTGCCCTGGCAACCCCCAGGAGCATTTGGGGGTAGATCCTGGGAAGGAGGAATCAGTGCTGACACCATGCCATCACTTCCAGGTGACACATGGAAGGTACATCATGACATCCATGACGCTCTAGGAATTTCCCCAGTCTCTGTGATAAAGACCATAGAGATTTGAGGAAGGTCCTAGGGTGTTGTGGATGCCACAGTGCTACTTATAGATGCA